TAAATTGACACAAGAAGTTTAAAGTCTAACCCATAATGGGACATACAACTATCATATAATTATATTTCTTTTCCATGGAGATCCGTGGTGTCTTTCGGATTCGTTACAGAGAGACCATATGCATCAGAAGTAGCTCTCCAGATGCGAGCCGTCATATTTCACCTTCACGTCGTAGGTGCTGCCTGACTGGCTCTGAAAAAAGTATTCGTTTGAAAAAATGCATATATACATGCAACATTTTCAAAACAACAGAAACTACAAACACTGTCTGGTTCATTTCGATGTAAATGATAGGGAAGTTGTTTTACTCGTTTGAAAAATGCTGAAGTCCCTGAATACCATTCAGGGCTAATTATAAAATCTAGGATTCGAACAGGTGCTGGAATTGCAAAGAGGCACAACTCTCTGCTACACCAGAACCCCTTCTAGTGTCCAGCTCAATCAGTTAGAAAGGTAATGTTTTCATATTCCACCCCACCCTTCCTATCTACCTTAAAACCATTTATTTACTTACCTACCTTCATCGTTTTGTAAAGTTACATTTACTACTACAGGATATGAACAGTCAACTCACCCTTCTAGTGATGCTGAAGTATTCCGGTATTTCTCTTGACTCGCGATTGCAAGGACGACCACCAACGCTAGCTTCAAACACTAGTCTTGACCTGTAAAACAGTAACCGATCAATGTAAAATACTACATATGGCATGTATGGCTGATAAAAAAAGTATATTTTACAACAGAACTACATCAGGCATGTAAGGATGACATCAAAATAAGCATATAATATTTCAGTTGGCCTGCAAAATATAATATCCGATAAATATAGAATACTATCACTGGTATGTATGGATGACATCAAAATAAGCATATAATACTACAGTTGGCCTGTAAATATAATATCTGATAAATATAGAATACTACCACTGATATGTATGGATGACATCAAAATAAGCATATAATACTACAGTTGACCTGTAAATATAATATCCGATAAATATAGAATACTATCACTGGTATGTATGGATGACATCAAAATAAGCATATAATACTACAGTTGGCATGTAAATATAATATCTGATAAATATAGAATACTACCACTGGTATGTAAGGATGACATCAAAATAAGCATATAATACTACAGTTGGCCTGTAAATATAATATCTGATAAATATAGAATACTACCACTGGTATGTATGGATGACATCAAAATAAGCATATAATACTACAGTTGGTCTGTAAATATAATATCTGATAAATATAGAATACTACCACTGGTATGTAAGGATGACATCAAAATAAGCATATAATACTACAGTTTGCCTGTAAATATAATATCTGATACATATAGAATACTACCACTGGTATGTATGGATGACATCAGATACACACAATATACCTCACGTAACCAGTGAACATAATATCTGATAAATGTTTAAAGCTACAGACATCTAAGGGTAATATAATGTGGATACCATTAGACACTAATAAAATGGATGAGATAAAGTCTTATTTTCGTTAGAGGCTCTAAATTCTAATCGTTCAGATTAAATCAAACACTCCTTCCAGTCCATAGTTCAATAAACCAGTTCTTTCTTGTAACCTTCCTTACAACCAGTTCACTGTTTATGGCCATACAGCCACCTAGTAGAGAATACACTGAAGTAATTTCAAGATTGTGTCCTTACCCAATTTTCGAGACAGACGCTGATGACATGTTACCGTACACAGAGTAGGACACTGTCCAGTCAGACTGGCAAAACCACGGTGGTCTCACTTGAACTGGAAACATGTTTGTTAACATTTGAACATTGGATAACTCGACATATTTAATGTACGTCCCTTCAGCTTTGATGCATCGGTGTTTATCTCTAGATTCCTTATGTTATGTCCCGCGTGAGGGGTATTAAGAATATGACATTGACTTTTAAAGTATATTAACTTATGTTGTCTGAATCAGCTGCAATTTACTGTAACACTTACCATTTACTCTTTCCATGATGTTAGTCCGTTTGAATCAGCTGCCTGAAAGATAAATCCAAGGGTTGTCACTGGCGAAGTTGAATGAAGGTTAAGTTGTAGAATGGATATTCCGATATGTTAATATTTCAATATTCTACTTGGGAGAGATGTGTGGAGATTTAACAAATGTCCTCATGTCTACCGCTGCTCAAGAAAACTGTAACTGCACAAGAACAAAATGTTCCCTTAAAATATAAGTATGTAAAATACATTATGATGAAAATAATTCAATGAATTATCTGTAAACAAGTTCCAAATACCACATATTGTATTTGCACTGTAGTCCGAAGTGTTATAAATCGTCAACGTTTACCGTTTTGGGAAAACCCACGAACACAGACGACTTGCTGACAAACCTCGAAACATAAACAGGGTGTAGTGGGATTCGAACCCATCATCACACACGTCATGGTATTCCAAAGGGAATCAACTGGACAGTCTGCTCAACAATCAACCGGGCTAAGATGGTTGTGTAACATTCAGTACTCACCAGCCACCCGAAGTCGGTATCTCTGAAGTCGGTATGATGCGTGAATGAGTTCTCACGACTTATGTACAACCACACAAAAGCATGCGATGAATAAGATGTATTATAAATCCACAACGCATTTAGCCTATCTGGCTATTTGGGCTTCCACATCATCTTCACAAACACCACGACATGGTGACAGCACTGTCACTTATGCGTTATCTCTTAGAAATCACCCCCGTTACTGATACATGCATATGCACAAGAAGTGAAACGATATATTTTAGGCGCTGACTGGGCTCCCGTTCTGCATTTGACTTGTGATATGTTGGAGTTTTATAGGGACATACCACATCGATGATTGATACTTCTTACTGAACAGATAATGCTGGTTGTTGAGTGGAGGGTAGATCGTAGTTTCTTCGTTTATAATGAACATGCTTATACCGAAAAGTGGAGTCCCAGCCACCTGCTAGTCGAAAATCGCATACGCGACTAACATTAATGGTTCCCTTGAGTTCGTTATAATCATACTTCATGTTATCGTTGTCTTGAAGAGTGAGTTTAGTTTTACGCCGCACTCAGCGATATTCCAGCTATATGGCGGCTGTCTGTAAATAATCCAGTTTGGACTAGACAATCCAGTGATCGACAGCATGAGCATCGATCTACTCAACTGGGATACGATGACATGTGTCAACCAAGTCAGTGAGCCAGACCACCCGATCCCGTTAGTAGCTTCCTACGACAAGCATGGGTTACTGAAGATCAATTCTAACCCGGATCTTCACGGGTCTGTCACTGACGAAGGAACCCAACAATGACTTTTGTTAAGATCATAGAGAATGTTCATGTTTTTGGTTAAAAACCTGGAAGTAAAGAACTGGTTAGGTTTTGGAATCTTTTGCACTTTGTGTATCATTGTTATGCAAAACATGTATCCGGTTGCAATGTTTCGTGTAAGCAGAAATAATAAAAGAGTTCAGGACTTCTTAAAGCATGTCTTAAGCAGTAAACGTAAGTGCTGAGGTTTCCAGAAAATACAAACCCCAATGACAGTCGTGATAATTTAAAACTTTGTACAACACTTCTACACAAGACAGATTTTACACCACCTTTTGGACATCGATTGTCATCTTCCTAATTGGTTTCCTGATGCTAGTGAATATCTGCTCGGATTGCCAAAATCAAACTTAACAATTTGTGCAAGAAATGTATTTAACCTACAGGTATATCTGACTTAATGTGGATAGTTAAAACTCATAAGTCAGAATCGCACAATTGGCAGACGTGTGTGATGATTGCGGAAAGCCTTTGTCACTTTTCTTTGTACAAATGATTAAAACATAAGAAAAGCAACAGAAACATTATGCTAGAACATGTGATACTTGCCCATCCATTCTTGCAATACGCTATGTAAAGTGCAGGTGACAGTCCATTGTACCCAAGAGTAACCGTGTGGTCTTATTTATACTGAAATGAAGAGTAACGTTGCTTGTTTCTGAGAGTTTCACTGATCATAGGTGAGTGTTCCAGATATACCACATGTGACATTTCGATTCACAACCAGTATGCTACACGGACAATGTAAACTGAACGCTATAATTACTTACGCTACCGGATGGTTTGCATGTGATGCCACGGGTAATGTAATGGATAAGAATGTTCATGTAAGAGTACATGCCTACATGTATCGCAAAAATTGGAAATTTGAAAATATTTCCATGATAAATGACCAGTCGATGAACCTGAGATGACCAACGTAGATAAATGCATGCATTGTTTATTTATTTATTTTTTATTTTGTGTGTGTGTGTGTGTTTTTCTGTTGTCCTCCAGTCGATGTTATGATCATAGCCATAGTGTCCAAATTGTGCAACGTATCATATCCATTATAGACTCGTCTTAAAGGTAGTCATCGATGGCATATTCTAGGAGCTGTTGAATACCTAGAAGGGTACATATTCGAATTTGCTAGACGTTTTTTGCATTTAGCTACACGTGTGTCTTTTTTAAGCAGACACTTAGTTGGTCTTCGTGAACGAAACAACACGATGCTGTGGCGTACCCACTGGGCTGGTACTAATATGAGGTCACGTGTTATTGCAGGTTTTGCAACCACTTCTGCGAATCGCTCGATGACCTCCTTTAACCACTGAATTCGTCAGACTCCTTCTTCAGTAGTCTTGCATGGGTGATCATAGATGTTTATCCACACGAGTGTGAGAGTAGTGTGTTTGGGCGTTTTCACATAACCTTTGCAACGTATCAGTAGATCTTGAGTATTGTTTCGACAGTCGTGTCTTATCTAATGGATTCCCAAACTGAAATTCATGTTTTTATATTAGGCGTTCTGCATCGAAGCATCGACGAGTGTGCATCTTGGATGTTTGTTAACACGTTTACCATGTGACTCATATAACCTGGAATGTTTTGTTAGATGTTTCATATTTGAAAAGATATAAGCGAGATGGAATACAAAGAGCTTCATAAACTGAAGCTGCACAGGTTCAGGTTGTGCTGCCAAATATAATGCACCAGTAACACTACTGGCGACACATTACCAAGTACGGATATTATAATTTCACTTGTGAACAGGAATTAAGACCTTCTGGTTTACTGCAAGCTAAATAATGGTATGTACAATTATTTCAGTTCTTTAAACCAGTCAGATGTATAACGTCCCTTTTGTCTTCAGCGCCTGGAGTAATCGCTGATATATATTAATTTAACTTTGAAACTTGAGGAGGTCAATTAATTCACCCAGAGCATGAAGCGTGGTGTGAGAGGCTTTCGTGCGTTCAAAAGCGCCGATTACTCCAAATGATGTACTGGCAAAAGAATAGGACTAACACATTGGTGAACAATAACATTGTTAGCAGTTCAGTTTCCATTCCAAGAGACCAATCATTGGAGATTTTTTACCATTAAATGAGTCACACCTTAGAGCCTTTTTGTCTGCGTAATTCAATATCTTAAAACTGAACAAATTACGACAAAGTAGTAAAAGATGTAAATGTGTGCATACTCGTACTATTATATACGATATGACTTCTATTACCTGGAATGTTTTGTGATTGTTTCGCTCCGTGGTTACATATGTAAAAAGAATAAATCGAGGTGGAATACAAGGAGCTCTATAAACTGAAGCTGTACAGGTTCACGTTGTCCTGCCAAATATAATGCACCAGTAACACTACTGGCCACACACTACCACGTACGGATATTATAATATTATATTATATAATTTCACTTGGGAACAGGAATGAAGACCTTCTGGTTTACTGCAAGCTAAATAATGGAATGTACAATTATAGCAGATGTATAACGTCTCTTTTGTTTGCTGTAAATGATTTCTATTTATTTAACTTCTGTTTTTGCCATCCTCTGGCGTTGACGTTTTGATTTTAAAACTTACAAAATGATGTTTTACCAAGCTCAGGGGCTTGAACTTGATTTGAAATGAAATGTGAGAAGGTCAAATTAATTCAACCTGTGCATTAAGCGTGCTGTGAGAGGCTTTTATGCGTTCAAAATCCCTGGTTACTTCAAATTGATGTACTGGCAAAAGAATAGGACTGACATGTTGGTGAACAATAACATTGTTGGCGGTTCACTTTCCATTCCAAGAGATTAGTCTTTGGAGTTTGTACCATTAAATTTGTCTATACGTTTTTAGCACCTTTATGCCATGTCGTCTGCGTAATACAATAACTTATAATTCAACAAGATTGTGTTCACAAGGACTGTGTCAAGATGTTAATGTATGCATTCTGATACTATAAGAGAAATTATCTAAAAATACGAGACACTGCCATGGTAGGAAACAAACAAAATTAAATTCTAAATATAATCTTAAATCACTGTGAAAGGCATGTGCTTTTTATCACAATATCACTCATGCTTGTTAAGAGACACATCATTATGATGTCAGAAACCAATATATATTTACATCGTCAAGTAAGTAATTAGGCTAGAATACGGCCAAGTAATATTCTCGGTCTTTGTGGTTTTCTACCATAGTGTTAAAGCCATAGTTTTTATTATATAAAGTAAACATAAATCACTTTACTTAGAAGTAAGGCAGCTGTTCATGAGTGGTTCTATTTATATCGATGACAAATCAGGTTTGTAAACAGGCCTCAGGAGTGTTGTAGCAACGTCAGTAGTCAATTGTTTTGTTTAAAGTTTACACTTGGGACCCGTCTCTTTGGGAGAGATATTTAGAATTGAATGAGTGTCTAGTGTTTGCTGTGCAAGTGAAACCTGAATAGCATGTCAGGTATTTCTGCGAACAGGTCACATTGGAGAATTGAACACGTTAAAGAAGTACGAGGTTTGCTGTTATTGCGCGCTGCATACAACAACAGATCTAGAGTCTTCAAATCATGGTTTGTGAAGACATGTGTCCCACAGAATACAATGACATGAATTATTTATAGCGTCATTCCTGTTGAACGGGCAGACATGCTATGAGATATTAAGAGCTGCGTATGTCCATGCATCTGAGAAATTACAGGAAACTTTTAAAAATCCATTAATATTATGTTTTCATTTAATGTTTCACTCGTGAGATTTGTTTTTCTGGAAACCTCATAAATTACGTTTACTGCTTAAGACATGCTTTAAGAAGTCCTGAACTCCTTCATTATTTCTGCTTGCACGAAACATCGCAGACCGGATACATGTTTTGCTGTGATAATCAAGGTGCAAAAGATTTCAAAACCTAACCAATACCTTACTTTGAGGTTTTTAACCAAAAACATGAACATGCTCTGTGATCCTAACAAATTTCATTGCCAGGTACCTTCTTCAGTGACAGACCCGTGAAGATCCGGGTTAGAATTGAGTCAGTGAGTCAGTGGATTCTCAAAACGGATTTCATGGTGTTCACTATATAAGGAAATGGCATATACTCATCAGAGCTGGTGAAGGGTGATGAGCTAGGGCACTGTCTTCTCGGGAGTCATGTTACTCTGCAAGCAGCTCTGCTCTTTTGTACCAGATCATAACTCTTTACAAACCTGTTACAGCTTCACTGCTGAACTGCTGAACCGCTGAACTGCTTCAACCATCTTGACCTATTGCCTATGTACGTTTTCTCTTGCAATACTTTTTGACATGACTGACAATGCATTCAATTTTAGTCAGTGTGTCTTCATGATTTATAAAATTAGTTTTCAGATCCATATGACAAAGGCGAGCCTCCAATCGTTATAAACAACCCGTTAACCAACCCAAACGACGTTTCTGTTGATTGCTGGAGTGGGTGCCCTGGTATGACCACTGATTCCACTCACAGACTGTACGAAGAAACATTGGTCAAGCTAAATATATAAGTAAGTTTGAGTTACTTCTGGCAGATCCCACTCACAGACGTGCGGCTTTGCTGCACCAGATGGACTGTATCAATACAATGTGATGCCATTTCATCAAAGAACCTGGCGAATGAATATCCAGATGGATGAAATGAAATTGTCAGTGACAATAATTAAAACAACAGCAACTGTTATATTCACGTGGTAATATCACTGAAAATGTGTGTGTTTTCGTCAGGACAGCTTGGAGGTCCTGTCGGTGGCAGGAAATATTGTTGATAGAAGACCCATTGCATTGCACAAAATCGTAGAGCATTGATGGTGAATGTCAGATTGGCATCTATTGACATGGTTCTCGGGGTAAAGCAAAAAATGTTGATAAAAACAAGTTTGAAATTGTAAATAGTTATTTTATTACCATGATACAAAAAGACTGTTCATCCTACAGATCAATTACAACAAACCACTTATTGACTATCGCTGCGTTGTTCAAATGTGTTTACAACCAATCAGAATCAAATTAAGCTTTCCGTTCCGTCACTTTTTACCACAAATTGCGAAAATAGAAAAAAAATGTTTAAATGATGTTGGCTGCAAAATGTCTGAACAATTAGAATTTGTTTAGAAAACTGATGTGTCACATTTTGAAAAAAAGATTTGATCAATGTATCGTAAACAAACGCGTAATCACACTTGAATAATGTCTTATTATATTTTCCAGTGGGGAAAGCTTGAATTCCATTTCTAGAAGTAATCGTTAAGATCGTCACCACTGTACTGGACTTTGACAACGTGTTTGCTACCGCTTGTACTCTGAAACAATTAATTGCATGACTAACATTTCAAAAGAGAAAAAATATATAGCAAAGTACCAAAGGCACAATAATACATACTCAAGCAAGAATCTACCGACTGGTCTTTATCTTCCAGTTATATTATTACATAATCATTACCTCCAGTGTGTATCTAAACTTCATTACTGTCAGAAGCCTTATCTGGGACCATTAGCGCACATGAGCTTTTAGTGACGTCGGTCTTAGAAGTTCAGAATGTGTTAAATGATTTCATACAAACGATTTCCTTAAAAAAACCCATCTTTGTTATTAAGGACGGATCTCCTTACTCACCTGACGTTTGATCGTCACATTCAGTGGTATTTCATCCGACGTATGATCGGAGTCATTTCCATCAACTTTGCATGTGAACACCACAACCTTTCTGAAATATACGCATGAAAAACATAGGTTTGTATATACAGTATAGGAGGACATGTAATAATACTATATAAAATATTAGACAATATGCGCACACACTTGTACGTGACAAATATAACATTAAACGATTTAATGTGAGCATGTGACAATGTAACAACCAATGCAATACATTATGTATTTTGAGCACGTGCAAACGACAAAAATAACATAAAATATGATTGATAAAATAGGCCCTGAAAGGTATGCAAATGCGAGATAATATGACAAATGAAATCAAAACGATTTATGAAACAGTTGCAAATAACAAAACGTATCTTCAAATGATATCATTGTAATACACTGTACATAGTTTAAGCGAATATGTGATATGAAAAATGCAATTGAAAACGATAAGTGAAACGATTGCAAATGACAGTAAATATTAATGCAGATATGACGTAAAAAATAAATAAACTCCCGACTAGGATGACAATGTCATAAACCCATTTGAGAAAATGAAAGCTTCAAAACCTTTACATAATCATAAAATATCCACTAAAATTGAGAACACTGCGTTATACAGAGCTGAATGTTCAGAAGTATAAGAAGACAGTAGTGATCAAATTAGAAGATAAAGCTACTCTGTTTTCAATTTTGCGGTCCTTTATCGTTGATTTAAGACCGCTAAATGTAATTTAAAAACCGAACGCGGTGAATCGGTCACTTTAATTAGCGGTCCTTAAACTGTCATTTAAGTACGGTTTTGATGAGCTCTCAGCCAATCAGAATCGAGTATCACACATTGGCGTGCTAGAATTCTCAATGTTGATACTTACCCGTTCACGTAGGCATTCGCAGATCTTATGCTGCCTTTATAAAAAAGCGTATGTAACCGTCCAATCTTGTTGCAAGCATCCAGGCCGTTTCACACTCACTGAGAAGTAACAAGTGTCAAGATTAAGGCTGGCTAAAATGAGCAATAATCAGAAATATCTTTGAGGTTATAAATGATGATCGTTCATTACCCTTTGTGATAGAAAAAAGTCTTAAGTTTCTCACACACAAAACAAATTTAGAACTTAGTTCATGGTTTGCTCCCAAGTTATTTTCAGGACGTTGTTTGTTAATAATCCATGCAAAAAACGTCACCACTCGCCAGTTATGTGAAAAATATTAATTTTCTTTAGATATTATTGGTCAAAGTTACGTCTCCGATATGTCTCGACAATCAATCAATATTTAGTTAACGATTATCGATTTCTATTATCTTTATCGATAGCCAGTCAATACTAAACATATATTTTAGTCACATTTAGCACGGGTTCGGAGCAATTGTCGTTGGTGGTGGATCATTTTAATACTAAACGTGTTGCTATAATTTCTTAACTCGGATAATTAACCATCCCACCCCCACCCATATCTAACACAGTGTAATAGTTCATCTCTGAATGGCTGAGGTGGCGTAGAATGGTAGATAAAGCGTTCGTTGGATACGCCGAAGACCCGGGGTCGATTCTTACATCGGTACACTGTGTAAAGCCCAAATCTGGTGCCCCCTGTAGTGATATTGCTGGAATGTTGCTAAAACGGACGTAAATCCAGACACACCAAAAACTCATTCTTCACAGAATGTTGTATATCCTGACTTAGGATGGTGCCCTACAACTATGAAGCTGATAAAGAACTTGACGTAAAAATTATGATACATTAGAGAAATTATAAACAAACAGATTGATTAATTACCCACCGCTGGGTCTTTCCATGTTCAATTCTGCGTCTTGCCTCGAAGCTTTAACGGCGACCAAAATAGGAAACTCTGAAAAGAATGTACGTCTGATATCATACTTCTTTTCACAACACATATATAAAATTACCGACAACTATCTTCTATTAAGAAATATTTACTACTTTACTAATTTACTATTTAACTAATAATCAAGTTTTTGTGGAATTAGAGAACAAAATACTCGTGAAGAGCATTTGTCTTCAGCAACCCATGCTTGTCGTAAAAGGCGAATAACGGGATCGGGTGGTCAGGCTCACTGACTTGGTTGACACGTCACCCTATTCCAAGCGTAGATCGATGCTCATGCTGTTGATCATTGGATTGCCTGGTCCACGCTCCATTAATTACAGACCGCCGCCATACAGCTGGAATTGTGCTGAGTGCGGCGTTAAACAACAAACAAACAACAGAATATGTCAACATTTCTCCTTACCTGACTCGTTCTGCCTTCACACAGCCAGGGTTCCAATACAAATGCATGTTGTGGGCTCGTCACGTGGTTTTATAGGAGATAATAATAGAATTCCAGGAACGAAAACAAACAAGGCAGCTCACGCTCTACTTTTTTTGTTCACACACTTTGACTTTCAATACAAAACAGTGATCGGCTGGGCGAAAAGTAGCTCTTAAAAGGTGAAAAATTATGGATGTCAACTGCTTATTATGAGGTATACGACGTTTCGGGGTATATGCATACTCATTTCAACGGCATTTAGAAGTGATGTACTTCGCAACATCGGGTTCCTCGTAACAAAGAAGCTGACATCCATAAATTCTCACATTTTATGTGTATCTCTTCTAAGGGCGGTGGGGTAGCCCAGTGGTTAAAGCGTTGGCTCGTCACGCCGAAGACCCGGGTTCGAATCCCCACATGGGTACAATGTGTGAAGCCCATTTCTGGTGTCCCCCGCCGTGATGTTGCTGGAATATTGCTAAAAGCGACGTAAAACCAAACTCAGTCAGTCAGTCAGTCAGTATCTCTTCTAAATGCTGTTCAAGGAATTTGCTGAAGCTCTCATATCAAACATCAGACAATGTCATAAACCCCCTGAAACTGCATAGGTTCAACAAGAGGCTGATGATGGTTAAGATAATGTTCAACTATTGCTATAACGGACTGCTGTTAACAACCCAGGAACACAGTGTATTGGCAAACATAACAACAACTATTACCTTCTTACAACTGTGGCCCATGGTGTGTATTTTATGGGCGCTTGTCTTACTGTTCTTGTTACTCGTGTCGATCAGGTGATGTAAATGGCATTGTGGGTTACGTTTATCAATGTGTAAACACAGAATACTACAAGACAAGCATTTCGTTTCAGTAACCACACTCCATTTAGAGATAAATGATTTTGCATCGGGTGGTGTCACATCTTAATGGTAAGACTTCTATTTTGAAGATACTGCAAGGTGACCGAAGTCGATCGATCGATCTCGTATGGAGAGAGAGAAAGAGAGAGAGAGAGAGAGAGAGAGAGAGAGAGAGAGATAGAGAGAGAGAGAGAGAGAGAGAGAGACAGCGCCACTTTGTATGGACATCGGTAAGAGTAACAAATCCATTAGTTCAGTGCAAACTATGACGTGCGTACGCACATCAGCAATTTTACAGCTATACGCGGTTCATGAAAACCATTCTCTTGGAAAACCCTTTGTACTTCACACTGGCTATTGAATATCATATTCTGTTACAAGCTGCCCCGATTTGATTTCGTTTCAGGAACGATGGTTCGGGCGATGTCGGCACAGTTAAACTGATAGATCAGCTCTCCTGTCTAATCAGCGGTTGGTACTTCTCCCAGGAAAACGCGCCATTTCGTAGAATGTGAAGAATCCGCAAGACTGCGGCCTTCTCACATCCCAATCGTGTCCGTCACCATACGGACACCCTATGTCCTACGCCCATGCGTCCTACTCCCGCCAGTCATACTTCCGCTAGTCATACAGCAAATGAGGAAGTAATTAAAACAACAACAGGCATATACCCTTTGCGCAAAATGGACTAGTCCGCTAATTAGATAGCTTGACGTTAGTGTAATATCTAACACTGAGAATGCCACAGTCTTTGGTCATGAAATCATATACTAGTAAACGAATGTTATTTAAGTAAATTACATTGAAGTTATATGAACATAATACACCATAACCGTTGATAATCAAAACATTTAAATCAATGTTTGACTCTAGCATATGACTCTTGTCGTTATGGCAGGACTGCTTGAAGTGGAATACGTTACCTCTAGGCGAGGTACACAACAGGTACTGTTTCCAGGTCACCTTGACAACAAGAATTCTACAAAGGAACACTGCATCCACTGGAAGTGTGTTGTGAAGACTTATTAAAGTTCACTTATGTGAAGCTGTATTATTGTTTCTTGGATCATTCCACTTTATTTTTACCAAGGTATCACAAAGTTAGTTGTTGATGCAGTCAATCATACTCTATGTTGTTTTAATCCGTATGACTAGTGGGACGTACGACTAATGGGAGGACACCCTTTCGTGAGCGGAGAATCATTTGTATCGCAAGCGACACCCAAGTATGGTATACATGTACATGCATATCATTTCATTGGATTCGTCACAAGCGGCTATGCTGTACACGAACTTATTGAACCAATTACATAATTATCATTTATTCATAAAAAAATATCAACACTCGAGTGGAAAGTGACTGGGGCTGTGCCGCAAACAGAACTCTCTCTGTTTCTCTTTTCAGACCAGCCAGCTTCATCGAAGAGAAGGACTCTAAAAGGTGTTTTTCCTTCTCAACAAACTGCTCATAAACTCGGTGTAGCGGACGTTAAGTGAGCCTTCCCTAGCCAAAGTGAGCCTCTACAGTTTCGATATGAAAATTAGCCTGGTTGACAGCCACTTCTGTAAAGTCCAGGAGTATAGAACACCTACATGGTAATATAGAACAAACTTTATGGATAACAACATGTCACGTCCAATGTGTGTGTGTGTGTGTGTGTGTGTGTGTGTGCGTGTGTGTGTGTGTCAAGCATGACAACGGTACAAGAATCTGTATCGAAACGTCGCACTCACGAATAAAAAGAAATTGTTATCCATAAAGTTTGTTCTATATTGTACTTCCCAGCTTCTAAAATGCCACTCAAAGAAGTTATCCGCCACCTACATGATAACATTGATATCTACATTATGTCCAGCATATTTAGTTCATTTACTAAATCATTGTTTTAAGTACAACGTGTGAAGAAAAGTTCTGGGTTTTCCAGTCGTGATATTGCCCGAATAGTGCTGAAAGCAGCATACACCCATACCCATACCCATACCCATACCCATCGATCGTTTTATAGCATTGTTTCAACAAAGCCAAGGTTACGTTCACATTTATAAAGATGGTTCAGAAGAAAACTGTGCCGCCATTTCTTTGATACTTGGAGCCTAAACGCGACTAACAGTCGTAACATCGATAATATAGACTTACTGAAGTTAAAAAAACCCCAGAAAATGTCTTGCTTATAGAAATATATAATTGCTTTCACAAGCAATATCTAAATCTTCAGCAAATTTAGCATGGTTAAAATGTGATATTTTATAAACTTTAAAATCTACGGAAGTGTAGTAGGGCCACGGTGAAAAATTTTTTTGGGTCACTATCTCCTACGTAGGACTTAGTATCTCCTACGTAGGACTTAGTATCTCCTACGTAGGACTTAATATATCCTTTTTAAGGATGGTTATTAAGTTGAGAAATGTTTTGCTATGCAGGACGTTAGATAGTCGAAATGTGAGTCAGTGAATATTCATGACACTAAGGCAGTGTTACTATACAGTGTCATTGTGTGTATTACGTTAGGGTGACGTGGACCCTGTTCTAATTGCAGTTATGGAGGTTTGGGTATGGTTATGTTTAATCTATCATACATACATCTATTCACACAAACAAACACACACACACAGGTGGTTGGGGTGAGGTTGTGATATGAAACTCGGGTTATAACACGACCTCCGCAAGTTGTTGCTTGTCTTGATGGGGCTACGTTGGATCGGATGCAACGCTCGTTTGCGGTTTTATTCGTAAATGTTTACAGGTTGACTTGACTGGGGTGGACGAGTGTTGAGTGCGGCGTAAAACAATACGAAATTCAAAAAGGCAAAGAATTGTCATTATAGTTATTTGTATAAATATAAGGGGATACGTACACATAGATTGCCACCGATAGTCTAAGACACGTCTGTACACGCAGATTATGATTCATGTGCAACCACCTCTGAAATATCCAATGCATAATAGTAAAGTGTAACAAAGTGCAACATATAACAGTGAACTAACTGCAACGCGTAATAGCAGAGCAAACTGAACGCAAGGCAGTAAAGTATAACAGTCGGTCAAACACAGTACTAATGTGCAACAATTAGTTGAACACATGACCCTAATAGTGAAGGAAACAGTAGACTCTAATAGTAAATTGAAACACATGATAGTAGACTCTAACAGTAAATGAAACACATAACTGTAGACTCTAATAGTGAATGAAACGAATGACTGTAGACTCTCACAGTGACTGAAACAGTGGAACAGGAGATTGTGTGCGTGTCTGGGGCTATAAGTCGACCGTTTCAGATTAATCCATATAAACGTATATCGATCATCTCCTACATGAAACATTAAGTACCACGTAGGAGATACTATGTCCTACGTAGGAGATACTATGTCCTACGTAGGAGATACTATGTCCTACGTAGGAGATACTATGTCCTACGTAGGAGATACTAACTCCTATGTAGAAGATACTAAGTCCTACGTAGGAGATACTAAGTCCTACGTAGGAGATACTAAGTCCTACGTAGGAGATACTAAGTCCTACGTAGGAGATAGTAAGTCCTACGTAGGAGATACTATGTCCTACGTAGGAGATACTATGTCCTACGTAGGAGATACTAACTCCTACGTAGGAGATACCCACTAAGGAGATACTAAGTCCTACGTAGGAGATACTAAGTCCTACGTAGGAGATAGTAAGTCCTACGTAGGAGATAGTAAGTCCTACGTAGGAGATACTATGTCCTACGTAGGGAGATACTATGTCCTACGTAGGAGATACTAACTCCTACGTAGGAGATACCCCTACGTAGGAGATAGTAAGTCCTACGTAGGAGATAGTAAGTCCCTACGTAGGAGATATAGTAAGTCCCTACGTAGGAGATAGTAAGTCCTACGTAGGAGATACTAAATCCTACGAGTCCCTACGTAGGAGATACTAACTCCTACGTAGGAGATACTAACTCCTACGTAGGAGATAGTAAGTCCTACGTAGGAGATAGTAAGTCCTACGTAGGAGATACTAAGTCCTACGTAGGAGATAGTAAGTCCTACGTAGGAGATAGTAAGTCCTACGTAGGGAGATACTATGTCCTACGTAGGAGATACTAACTCCTACGTAGGAGATACTAAGTCCTACGTAGGAGATACTAAGTCCTACGTAGGAGATAGTAAGTCCTACGTAGGAGATATTAAGTCCTACGTAGGAGATAGTAAGTCCCTACGTGGGAGATACTATCTCCTACGTATAGGAGATACTAAGTCCTACGTAGGAGATAGTAAGTCCTACGTAGGAGATAGTAAGTCCTACGTAGGAGATACTAACTCCTACGTAGGAGATACTATGTCCTACGTAGGAGATACTAACTCCTACGTAGGAGATACCCTATTAGGAGATACTAAGTCCTACGTAGGAGATAGTAAGTCCTACGTAGGAGATAGTAAGTCCTACGTAGGAGATAGTAAGTCCTACGTAGGAGATAGTAAGTCCTACGTAGGAGATACTATGTCCTACGTAGGAGATACTAAGTCCTACGTAGGAGATACTAAGTCCTACGTAGGAGATACTAAGTCCCTACGTAGGAGATAGTAAGTCCTACGTAGGAGATAGTAGAGATAGAAGTCCTACGTGGGAGATAGTAAGTCCTACGTGGGAGATACTAAGTCCTACGTAGGAGATAGTAAGTCCTACGTAGGAGATAGTAAGTCCTACGTAGGAGATACTAAGTCCTACGTAGGAGATAGTAAGTCCTACGTAGGAGATACTATGTCCTACGTAGGAGATAGTAAGTCCTACGTAGGAGATACTAAGTCCTACGTAGGAGATAGTAAGTCCTACGTAGGAGATAGTAAGTCCTACGTAGGAGATACTATGTCCTACGTAGGAGATACTAACTCCTACGTAGGAGATACCCACTTAGGAGATACTAAGTCCTACGTAGGAGATAGTAAGTCCTACGTAGGAGATATTAAGTCCTGCGTAGGAGATAGTAAGTCCTACGTAGGACTTACTATCTCCTACGTAGGACTTACTATCTCCTACGTAGGACATAGTATCTCCTACGTAGGACTTAGTATCTCCTAAGACCAAAAAAAATTTCACCGTGGCCCTACTACGCTTCCGTAAAATTCAGTTATTGTTATCATTAAATCATTAAGGCATACCAAAAAAGTTTATTGTTAAATACCATTTATTGTGTCATCTCACATATAAAACTTCATTCAGAGAACCATTTCCAGCGTATTGGTTGATCTGGAGCATGAAGCGGACATAAAATGATACTTTGATATTATTTGTTTGTTGTTCAACATTAGTTTAAAACATACATTCTGATCTACGTAAATTGGATACGTTGACACTTCGGCACCCGCAAATGACCAAGTGATCCGCTTAGTCACCCCAATCGACAAAGATGAGCAGATCCGAATGTCCGAATCACAACGTGATCAAATAAACAGTGGACATGTCACGTCCAATGTGTGTGTGGGTGTGTGTAAAAAAGATTTGGTTCCCCCATAGTAAAAGTTCCGTTGGAACTTTTCATTCCAACATTTGTTCCTGTAATAGTGCATGCGGAACAATTATTTCGTTCCGCACACACAGAATTTATTCCGGGTAAAGAGGAACTTCCACACACATCATAAAGTGTCTAAAAGAGGGTTTTGTTTGTTGGGGTGGTCTTAATAATTGGGGCGTGGAGGGAACGGAAAGGAAAAACAGATTTTCCTACGGTATTTGTTCCATATGGAACAAATCATGTGGCTATCAAGAAGCAATTATCATGTGTGAAAGTTCCTTAATTTTTTTTATGAAAATACATTGTAGATTCCCCAGAATCCGAACTGATGATTCTAAATGAATCTTGTGTTAAAAAGAGTTCAGTTATTATGTAACCAAGTTACCTTCATTAATCAGGTTACAGTCAGTAGCCAGGTTACAGTCGACATGTAACCAAGTAACAGTCAGTAGCCAGGTTACAGTCAACATGTAACCAAGTTACAGTCAGTCAGTAGCCAGGTTACAGTCATTATGTGACCAAGTTACAGTCAGTCAGTAGCCAGGTTACAGTCAACATGTAACCAAGTTACAGTCAGTCACAGCCAGGTCAGTGTAACCAATTAACAGTCAGTCAGTAGCCAGGTTACAGTCAACATGTAACCAATTAACAGTCAGTCAGTAGCCAGGTTACAGTCAACATGTAACCAATTAACAGTCAGTCAGTAGCCAGATTACAATCAATATGTAACCAAGTTACAGTCAGTCAGTAGCCAGGTTAGTGAACATGTAACCAAGTTACAGTTAGTCAGTAGCCAGGTTACAGTCGACATGTAACTAAGTTACAGTCAGTAGCCAGGTTACAGTCAACATGTAACCAAGTTACAGTTAGTCAGTAGCCAGGTTACAGTCAGCATATAACCAAGTTACAGTTAGTCAGTAGCCAGGTTACAGTCAACATGTAACCAAGTTGAAGTTAGTAGACATCCCGGATGTTGACAAGTTGGACGAGTCCATTTTGCATTCAATAATGACTGGAATAGGTTAGGCCTACGGTACGTGTTCCTGTTCGATGGAATATATGCGGTATGTGCAGAGTTTTTATTCGTGTCATCCATTCTCAATTTCACGGCATTTAATCCGAACCGGAACATTTACTACTCGGAACTAAATCATGTTTACATCC